ATTGGAGATACTTCAAGTGTATTTACGGCTAAATATGATTTGTCGATATTTGTAAGTTTCGATAGTGTGACATTTGTTTTGCATATGAACTTAATAGACTTGTTATTATAGACGACAGTAAAATCACAGATAGAAAATAATATCATTCTATCCTTAGAATTTAGTGAAAGTGGCTGTAGCCGTAAAATAAAGCAATCGACAAATACATTAGTAGATTATTTTTGAATATAACGAATAAATTTCCTCATTGTAATTCTTCAAAATCAAAAATTCATGCAATCACATTTTATAAAATATTCTTTACTTCTTCTGACCTACTAAAACTTTTTACTGCTGTATTATAAGCACTCCTAACGCTACAGAAAAATGTGGTCTTGATATTTCCCTAATTACATTAAATTAAAGCTTACAATTAATTAAAGCGAAATGCTCGTTGAGAGCTCGATTATAATACATACAAATTTTTGATATCATTTCACATATTTCTGTAACATAAAGAATGTAATAAAAAAAAACGTTTGTTCAGATTAAAGGGAATATAAAAATTGATATTTCATTTATAAACGTTAGCTTTTCTACTACTATTAATGCCTTCTTAATAATTGCATACGAAGTAAGTAATTCAAGTAATACAGAATCATTCGAAATATATAATGTAATACTTTTATCCTACATTTTTCAATCCCGCGACCTGCTCGGCATGGAGGTACAACTCACGATAGCAGAAAATGAATGCCGCGGCACGTAAGTGTATTCCCATGTAGTATGGACGAGTGTGTAAGTCACTCGACCTCACGTGACTGCGCGAACTTGCATGTCAGCCGAGGAGCTCTAGACCGACTATCTAGAATCTTTCAATTTCTCATACTTTCTTACTCAAGAATCGAATTCCTATTATGGATGCAAAAGTACTGCACATTTATACGTGTACTTTCACGTGTACATAGATCGTACCGATGAAGAAGCTCACTTTTCTTTTGAAACGAACGATTCTCGAATATTTCCTCGAACTTATCGCCATAAAAAATATCGTGACATCAACGTTTCCCTTGAATCTGTCATATGTATTTTTTTATGTATTTAACCCTATAATATCTTGAACTCGCGAAAACATTAAAAAGAACGTGAGTTGGTAAGAAATTTATGAAACTTCATTTATAATACAAAGTCATTTTTATGAAAAAGGGTGTAGCTTTTATATATCGATGTACGGTTAGTAAGAAAAATATTCAAATGGCGGATTTCTACATTTACATTATTAGTCTTTAACTACTGAGTTTAAAAAACTTACACTACAAAGCATTGTTTTTAAAAAATTTTAAATCTTTCATTTATAATTTTTTAATGTATCTTCCTTACCGATCAGATCAGAGAAACAAATCAATAATATTTATTTTATCAGACTTATTCATTAAATGCTATAAAGCACGTTTCATTACCAAATTTTTTTTTCGTCCTTGAGATCAATATTAATAGTAAAGGGTTATAAAGGTTTCAGAATGGGCGATACAATTTCAAAGGAACTGATTCTGCTTGAAAAAGTAACTCAAAAGTATACAGTGAACATATATAAATGTTATGTATGATTGAAGTAGATACGGTAAGCAAAGAACGGACATGTTGAGAAAGTCCTGACCGATGATTCTGCACAACAAATTAAAACGAAATTAAAGAAGTTTTTTCAATCTTTGTATAGCTTCCTGCCTCCAATTTTAAATATCTGAAATAGTCAAATATTTCATCTCTCGGGCTTCGTTCATTGATTTCCATTAAAGGACAAATATAAGAAGATAATATAGAAACTGAAATAGATTTTAATTAAATTCAAATAGAAGTTCTTATTTAAAATCAATTTTCTCGCAAGTCAATAAACGAAGAAACGTCACATACAGTTATTTATGTACCCATATTATCTCTTCTAACCCATCAAGTATATTAAGGACAACATTCTTAACGCGCATCATGAATATCTGCCCCGAAATTCCATGGCATTATAAATTCCACACAGCGAACAGCTAATCATCTCCAAGGCGACGAAATAATCGCTTATAACAACGCGCATGTATTCGAAATGCGCGATGCGCTCCCAGCGTTATGTAACAATCGAGTTCGTGCAGGCAGCAATAAAACGCGTGATTTAATTAAAGCAACGCGGCGCAGATTAAATCGCGAAATGAAATTAAACAATGCATCGGTGTCAGTCGGCGAGTCGGGCCAACTATAATTGAAAACGACATAATTGCCGTCGAATATTTCAATCCGACGGGAATTAGGTCGGGCCGTTTCGAAACCCAGAGGACACTGTTTTCACAGCCACCTGGTTCGCGGAACTAAGAAATCCCCCCCCACTCGTCAAACTAAACCTGGAATGACTCTAATCACCCAATCACGTGCCACGAGGTCGCGAGACACACTCACGATAACGAAGTCCTCGGGGCGAGTGCTTTCGCAATCTTCGCGGCGTCGCTTGGTCAATGAGGGTCGAACGATTCCGCGCGCGGCTGACAGGTAGGGTAGCAAAGTCGTGCCGGTGCCTGAACAACGGGAACAAGAGAAACGTGAATAAAAGACAGGAGAAAAAGGAAAGAGACGGAGAGGGGAGGGGTGAAGGAAAAAAAGGAAGCAAATCCTTATCGATATTCCACTGATTTCCATATACAAGAGCATTAAACCGAACGGGGAAGAAGGAATTTGACGAGCAAGCGGAAAGCAGCCGTACGACGACGCGGAATCCAAACAGTGGGAAGCAAAGCGGGATTCGTGCGTCTAACTTCGCGAGAGAGCCTGTTTACATGAAAATCAAGAGACTAAAGTGAATTTCAGTTCGGCAAACCCGGCCGCTTCTGGCTGCGCCGGAATATTTCGTATTCTCAATTAACGGTGGAGGCGCAAAAACCAAGAATAAAGGTTAATAAAAGAAGCGGGGGTCTCTTTTTGGTGCGCGGCAACCGTTTCTTCACGCGGATGCTAGCTATTTTTAATTCTCTTTGCCCACAGCACAGCAGCCCCGTAATGACGCGCATTAACCAATTAGCGCTCGCCACCCCCTTCCCGACTCGCCCCTCGGCCTTTTTTTCTTGTTACTCTCGCCTGGCCACAGTTCGAGATACTGGAACAGCCGTTCCAAACGGGCCCGCGGAAAGATGCAACACGCCGTGTCCACCTATTTTCAGCACCATGTGCCATCAGGGCTAACGCGGTGCGTTGCAGCTACCCCGCGGTTTGGCAGAGCTTTGGACCCGCCAAAGCGAATATTATTTCTGCGGTGACTCCGACTCTTCGCGAGGGACCGTACGGAGGGACACGATTGGCTTAACGAGACCGTGCTCCCCTCCCGGAACTCGGGCTATGAATTTCTCAGGAGAATAAAAAATTCCTAAACACCTGCGTTCTGCCTTACCCTGGAAATTTTAACGGAATTGTTTATTACATTCGACACCTGGTGAACCCTAATCAAGCATGATATATAAGTTTCTTGGTCGATAAAAGATAATGATTTCTGGTGATACACGCTCGACTGTTCTAGATTGAAAATTTAAATAAAATGTTATTCAAGTGCATGTCGAGTTTATCAACTTTGGAGCAAACGATCGTGTGTTTTAAACAATTCTGCTTGTTAGTCTTGAAAGAATATACTTTGCTCGGTAGCATTTCATTTTATGGAATATTCAGTTACTTTCAATTTTGAATTACATTTACGAACCTACATTTTTTATCTGTTTGTACAATATTAGATGGATTGCCTTAATCGTTGTGCTATTCGTTTCCAAATACGGCGCATTATATTCTTTTTAAGTATGCCAATTATATTAATAAATAGCAGTCAATTGCATAACTGAGATACAACATATATTAGAATATATACTACATTATAACGTTTATTATTCTTTTCAATCTTATCAGAGAGTATTCAAATTACCCTCTCTGTGTACAATATTTAATCATTTTGATTATTTCATATCAAATGTAATTGCATTGAATTCTGGTGATAGACATGTGAATACAATTTAGTAAATGGCATTGTGTGCGTCCTGACGTGAAACTTAATTATCTTGAAGCGATTAGTGTAAGTTACATTATTACTTGCAATCGCGGGTTTATGTTTAACAGTATACCAGTTTGCAATTTAGGTCATACGGAAGTGTCCCGATCCATTTTCAGTATCTTCCAATTATTTAAAGCCGCGTATTTATGGACTAATAAGAATAAAGGAAGTAGTCGGCTGTAAAGTATGAAAATATCAGAGCGGAAGAAAAATTGGAACACTAGCGGAGATGAATTATAATCCTTGGACGTATTTTACGGTATTGAAAGAACGTTTTCCAATATGGTAATGGCAAAAATTATTTATGCGGGCGCGGGTCGACATAGGTATTAGAAGCCCGGGAAATACTGCGACGAGAACGAACGTCTTTTCTATATTCAATTCGAATCAACAATTTTCGGGGATAAGATATTACGATCGAAATAGAAATTCAATTCCGCGCGCGCATACAAGATGCAGTAACTGAAGGCATAAATTCAACTGCTCGATTTCAATTGCGTAAACTGCCGTAAAATCGAAAGGCAAAAGCAACCGAAATATCCATATGAAAAAAAAGAAAGCAAATCGTGATAGAAATATATCAAAGCTGTTTGATTCGAACACCGTTCCATGAATAATCAATTCCCGTATCAATATTTGAAAACAACAGAATTAATCGAGTCTGTCAAAATGGCGTCTAATTACGGCAAACCGTATAATTTCTCACGCTCAGCGTATTATTTTCAAATAAATAATCAAAAAACAGTACTCGCCGTGTGTAGACAAAAAAAAAGAAGAAAATCCACAGTGAAACGATAAAATCTTCCAACGCAGTTGTATTTAATAGTTAAAACATTCCACGTTCAATAGGTATCACGTATTTGGAACGATATCCAGACGCGAATCGCGCGTCACCGAATCATAAATCGGCGCGACAGGATGCCGTATCGATAGATAAATATAGTGTATCACTTACCGGGTAAACGCGTGAAGTCGCTCTCGCTGTGGGGGCAGTCGCACACACTCCAGAAAAGTGGGCACATACACGAGAGACCGTGAGGGAGGGGGTAGAGCACAAGCGAGAAACGGTAGCGAGAGACGGCCGACACGGACGGGCAGGGTGGTACGCGCGGGCTCACCGATGTCCCAAACAAAAGTTACGTTGGGGTAGGTTACGTCAACGCCAGATTACACCGAAGACGATCTATCTCCCGCACTGGCCGTGCCTCGAACGATCCGCGTTTTCGACCTGCACGTCGACGACAAACACGCGCGCACGACTATTCACTGTGTCCTCCGCGCCGACTGGGAACAGAACCAAACGTTCAATGGCGTCCAATATCCTTTTAAACGACTGCCGAGTGCTCGGAAAGACGAGGGAAAAAGAGCAAAAAAACAGGGCTGGTGGGGTGAGGAAGGGAGAAGGAGCGGGATCGAGAAAGGAGAGAAAGAGAGAGCGAGGGAGATAGAGAGAGAGAGAGAGAGAGGTGCGCCGCTGGCAAACGGAATCGCAAGCTTCACGTGCTAGATAATCGTCTTTCAAAGAGGATCGAACTCGACGCTTTCAAGATGGAGTACACGCTCGGCGTGTCTCGTTGACAGTTTATGTTTCAAAGTTGTTGACAGCTCGCGTATGATCGCTTTAGAACTGCTCTCTGCGATTCCTATACCCAACCTATCATTTTGAACACGAATGCGGTTAGAATTGTTTCTATCAAACTTCTCGACGGAATCACGGAAACTTCTAAATAAAGACTGTTAACGGTAGTCTTCAATTTTAAAGTATCGCTTTTCCAATGAAAACATTATGTATCATTTCCAATAAATTAATAGTGAGTACGAGATTAATCGAAAAATAAGAACAGTCGTTTAAAATATATTAATGTGCGAATTAGTAATCCAATGTTTCGTAATGATGTTTAGGTGAAAAAAAGATAAGAAAAATGTCTGACCGATCGTTCGTCCCAGTCAGCGAACCCAGAACATCGTTGGAAATGAAAAGACGGGGAGAAACAACGTGGCGAGGCTCGCGTGACAACCGTTCGCTAGTACGCACACACGCGTACACCGTACGAGAGGACTGCCGAGAGAGGGCGACACAACACCCTCACCGATGCGCGGTTCGAGTGCGACTGAGCGAGTCGAGGCAAGCCCGTCGAGCCGAAAGCCACAAGCCGCGTCAGCCGACCGGCGGCGACGGACCAATCAGAGCTGTCCCCTGCGCAACTACCCGACACCCAAGAATTGACCACATGCTCGCCCATTCACCCTTTCTTCCGCCCTGTCCTTTTACCTTTTTTTTCGCGATAAGACATCGAAATCCGCGCACCACCTTCTTTCAACCACCCTCCCACCCCATCGGCCCATTTATCGCGAGACGGATTTCTAAGATGGATGGATTCATATTGTTTCTGGTACGCAACGTTTCCCTAATACGTTTCTGTCGTGATTCGTGATATATCGCGGACGTACGCGAATGTGACACGGTTTCACCGGAAAAGTGAAATAAGACGTCGTCGGTGTCATTACTCAAGATAATATTGCCCGGTTCTTGTAAAAAGGTCTGTGCGAGTCTTAATTATTTGATCGTTAACACTACAACTGTCAGACGGGTTAATATGACGCGTTTGAAAAATTTTATTTTACATTTATGAAAATTCTGAAGATGGTTTTCTAAGACAATATAAAATAAATTTGTGTATTTTTAGAAATACACTAATATGAGACGGTTCAAATCTCGGAAGATGCACTCTTCTAACGTTTATAAGAAATGATAAATGAGTCATTCTAACTGCTCGGTAATTCTAGTGTTGAAAGATTGAAGAACGAATTTCATGTGTGGTATACTTTTCTTTTGTTACTGTCTATCTATCCTTCAAAGATATTAACAGGATACACTGTAATGATGAAACGCGAAATATAATATAGTAGTATCAGTGTACCATTCGATTCATGTTACAATATTACAATGTTACTGAAATCGTGAGGTAATTGTAATGCTGACTTGTCTGTACAAATCAGACCGTTTTTACTTCTTATTTAATGATAACTAAATAATTGTTTCGCTTGAGAAGGCGGTTTAATGTAATTTCGCCATTTGAAGTTATTCACTAGTACATTCACCAGTATTTCACTTTCTCACTATTTTAAGTCATTCGGGTATAGTTATTATTATTACATTTTGAACTCCTAAAATTCTAATTAAGTTGATTGCTTCTAATAATCTGTACACAAATTGAGAAAACTCTAGGTCTTAATTTCTTGTATTATGAATTAAGGAATTAAAAATTTTAAATCAAATATTTATCCACAAAATATTGTTCTCGGGAAAATTTACTTCATTTTTATTCTGCGTGTATTACATTGTGTGTAGTCTTAATACTTTCGACAATGAGAAATATATTCCACAATATATAATTTGGTAAAATTTATCACAAATATTCCATTCTATTATGTATCTTTGACCATCCAATACAGTAAGGACATACCTGAATAAAAATATTAGTCTCTTGTGAAGTTCGTAAAATCGACTTATATTTAAATACAATGTTTAAGGAATGTTTAAAATAAAAAATTTGTATGAAACATGTATGAAAACATGTTAACTTATTTAATATAGAATAGTGGTTTCCCATTTAATGTTTCTCATATAACAAAATATAAACGTCGGTAAGGTTTGACGGTTCACAACATCCTATAGAAACTCTGTGTATTTTACACTTCACTTTCCATTCGTAATTTATAAATCCGTCCGCAGACAGCGAGCAATATTCACAGTTTCACAGGAAAAACGATTGAAATCGCAAGCTTTTTCCCAGCCTTGTTAAAACTCGACGACGTCTGTACCTTACTATACGCAGAGAACTTTTCGTGACCTTGCGGTCGTTCGTTCATCGAGTTCTTTGAGCTCATTCAGATTACAGCCGTACAGAGAGCACGACTGAAGCAGTCGATTCACCGGGGAATTAAAATTAATGGTTGTCTGACTGTTGGTTTTTCGAGCGCGTATTATCGCGCTCTGAAAAGGGAACGGACAAAGGCAAAGTGATTAGTGGGCGCGGGTGCACAGTATTCTTCTTTCACACGAGCAATTGCGGCCGCGAGTGGCGTGACAACATCAGTATGCCTGTTACACCGACGGAATCTACGGGAAACGGTGGTTATTAGTAAACCGTTTGTTTCAATTTCCAGCAGATAATCAACGAAAATTCAATTACCTTCTTCTCCGGCGTCTTTTGCGCGCGCCACACGCTACGCGCACCAGCGAGCAGGCGAGATCCGTTTTCATCCCCTTTTTTTCACCCTTCTCCGTGTCAGCCGGCCGATATTCCATTCGAAGAAACGCCGCCAGTCTCGCATCTCGTACACGATCGAATTGATATCGTGAAACGCGGCGTGACGTGTCGTTTATCGCTTTTCGCTCGAGTTTTTCCGGGGGTAGGTTACGTGAAAAGGATTGCTTCCGGAGTAAATCTAATATCGTTCTTACCTGCGCCGCGCGGAAGAATGGAGACGCGAAGTAGCTCGGCAGAAATCGCGGCGCCGAGATCCCATGGGATCCCCCGGGAAAATCCTCTTGCTCTGCGTGTGGGCGTGTCGATTCCATGGTATTTTATTTTAATACAATCAGGAAACGCGATCACACTCCAATAGATGGATTTCGGACGGCTCGAGCTTGCAGTGCGTCTGTACAATTCAGAATGACAATGCGGATGATTTCATATTAGTCTCGCAAAGAGCAACATTTCTGTGATGTCAATTGATATGAGATATATCCTTGAAAAAGACTTATATATATGCAATGTATTTCTGCTTCTACTATTATACTTCCATCCATGTAGATGTAGTTTTATGGACAGGAAATCGTTTCCTATTAATAAGTAAATGAGCAGATAGCACCAGAGAGCGAAGTAGGTTATAATTAATCACTTCTTACGTATCACGATCTGCTTCGTACTTGCTCGTTTAAATTGCTCATAAAAAGATGTCATATAGATATTTGAATGCTTTTAACCCGCTCGCGACCGTTGTCAAAGTTATTTTATCTTTACTCTCAGAATCACCTGAGGTACTAACTCCACATAAATGAAGGTACATTATTCCTGTCGTGACTATAATTACATAAAATGGATAACCTAATGGCAGACTTTCGACCTCGGTGCAGTTCGAGCAGTAGGTGACTTACTGCTTAGAAAAAGTGGTCATAAAATATTTTTCACATTTCAATGTTCCAAACATGAATTATTAACTGTAGCTCTGAAAATGTTGCTTCTTTTTTTCTTTGTTTAAAACTTTGTCTTTGAATAAAAAATCCAACTTCTGTCTTTGAAATCGTGAATGTAATAAACATTATAATTTCAATTTTATCTATGTAATATAACACCTCCACGTTCTCTCAGTATAAATTCACGTAATTTTTTCAACAGTTTTAAAACACTACTACGATTGTTTAATATTTTTAGTCCTATCACATTCTTACTTTTTCAACGATATTTTTGTAATTTAGAATGCGAGTAATATATTTTAACAATCTGTTCTTGCGTCACTACGAATATTTCATTTTAGTACACAAATGTTGCTAACATTTTCACTTCGATCCAACTCAGGCTGTAGTCACGGTAACTAGTACTTGCACAGCACTCGCCGAGCATTTCGTGGATGACGAATCAAGGCAGCATTAGATGCGAAAGTGTTGAGACGTAATCGAATTCCAATATTGTGTAATCGTCATGACGTGTTTGGTAATGGGCTGATCGCAGCTATCCAGAATCCTCAGCTCAGCTTTTGAAATAACGCGTATGTGTAACTGGGTTATGTACACAATAACGACGGTTACAATCGAGTGGAATCACAGACAGGCCGGGAGAAATGCACCGGGAAATGTACATACCTGTACGGGATATTTACGTACTATGCCTACATGCCGTGAGATACAAAAGTGTATACATACAGGAATATCGGGGCTGAGGTGAAATCTACGGTATTGTAAATACACGGGGAGAGTGTTGATTAACTGCTCGCTTCTACGTCGCTTCTGGTAACTCACGCTTGAATTAAATCCGATAAAGATCGATAACCGCAATTATGTTGGACGCTCCCTGCGATTATAAATGAGAACGCGAATGTGTCATGAGTTTTCTTTGGCTCGTCTTTTAATGGAACACGTAGCAGCTAACTGCGTAAGAGAGATTCGACAACTTTGAAAGTGCACTATGAAACGATGTATCAGAGAGTCGTATAATATGCTGTATCTATAACTATGTATTGTATATAATCCCTGTAGATTTATAATAATAATTAAAATTCCATCATGTAAGCATTTCAAATTATTTACTAGAACAAGGAAGGTATTAATACAATTGCATTATTAATCGGAAGTTTTAATAATAGAAAGAGAAACGAATCTGATTACCCTGATTGCGTTCTGAGTCCTCCATACAGTCTATAATCTAATGTAGAAATATACTATGGCGTTCAACTATAGACGAAGGAATACAACTATATTCCCAAACAAAAGTGAAATGAGATGCGCGGACTACCAATACCAGCTAAGTCACCGATAAACTGTCAAATAGACTCGAGAAGCGCACAGGGAGCTTAATTGGGGATGGCTCGATTGCGCGCGATGTACATACGTAGCGCTATCGATTGACTCGTTATTCAGCCGTAACGGCATCTTAATACAACGCGTATAACGTATTAGTTAGTGTAAGCGGTTTAGGCGGAGCTGGTGCATTGCGACTTCGGTATCACGAGCTGCCAATGATTGCTCCGATGCGAAGTCGGCGCAAGTTACAGCCAAACCCCGGCATCAGGTTGAACGGAGTCAAATGCGGGGCGTCCTACAATCAAAACATTATAGGCATGCACCGGGTGCTGCTGATCATGTTATACAATCAGCCTCTCGTAGGACGGAAGTACATATGCTTCTATGAACTGTGGTTTCGCCCGTAATATGTGTGCGCGTATACGCGCGTGTACGTCGCGATACATGGGCACGGCCTGATCAACCGATGCCGAACGTCGAACTTCGGGCTGCACTAATGCGCGTGTGGTCGTACACGGGATACCGATTCGTGTGACGCGGGAGACTCGGTTTTCGACAGATAAAACAGGAGAAT